GCATCCCTGCACTTCCCCCTCCCCGGAGGCACTCCGCTCCTCCACTCGGCTGGCGGATTGGATGGGGCCACACCGCCCGTAGTCGGCATGGGCCGCACAGTGAGCCCCTGCGGGCCGCATGTCGTGCAGTTATACCTCAATTTATACCCAACAGCCTAGTGGTTAGGGCAGTCACCTGGGATGTGGAAGAGCCAAGTGCCTTGGGAGCAGGGACTTGAATCCAAGTATCCCACTACCACCCTCCTTGTTTTTTGTGAACAGTGCATAAGTCCCCTTGGGAATCTAGCCAAAAAAAAATTGAAATGCTTCTTTTCAGAAATGTCAAAATTAGTCAACATGCCAATTTTTTTCTTTAATTGAAACAATTTCTCAAAATCAGTACTAATTCATTACGTTTCAGTTGACCTGAGTATGCATTTTTCAGCAAAACATCTCGTCAAAATATGTTGCCTAGTTCTACTAATTAGCCATCACCTTGGGCTAGACATTAAAGCCTCAACTGTGGTCAAGAAGGTACAAAAGGAGTGAGATTTGGGAAAGGAGAGGGTTAGAGATTGGGGGGAAACAGTGTGTGGATTTGGTATTCCATTTCCAGTATCCTCTGTTGATTAATTCAGCCCTGGATCACAGTCCACAGACAGATAAGCAAGTCTACAGCTCATGAGACTATTTTACCACAGAAAAATCCTCCCCCTTAACAGCTAACTTAGCTGTGGTTCCCATGTGCCAGAGACTGGTGGCCTTGACGCTCCTTTCCATTCATTTCCTCCACCACCAGGGAACATGGTATGGGTGGGTGAACAGGTATTCAAAGCCCTTAACAGAGACAAAGTACTTCCTTTCTACTCCACTGGCCATTGGAGGGATAAAGATGGGGGTATGCCAGATAGTCTTGGCTGAGGTGAGTGCGGACTTGACAATCAGGAAGGCCACCTTAGATGGATCTTTGGGAGCCAGGATATCAACATCCTGCTCTATTATCACCCCCATCTGGGGGTTAAGACTAAGGGCAACCTTCTGGAGCAGGCTCGCTGGTGCTGAGAGAGTCATTTTTCTGTACTGGTCACAGGACTGACAGTGGTGCCCTATGGACTGAGGCTCTCGGTGCCAGGTTCTGCCTCTGTGACTACAGGGTGGATTCCACAAAGAATTGCTTAAGACAAAAGTCCTAATCCTTTTGGTCCAGAGTTTGAAGGCCTTGAAGATCTTGCCATTGCCCGCTTGGTGGGCTTCTCCCAAGCACCAAAGACATAAGTCATGGAGGTCTCTTGTTGGCACAGATGTAGGGCAAGAACTGCAAGACTTGAAGCCCTGGGACTCTGGCATGCCCCAGGTCCTGGAGGGGAAATCCCCTCGCTACAACACTAACTGCCAACTATTAATGATGGTCAAACAAATGAACTATAAACGCTAGGGATGCGCGGCTTTTGCAATACCAAGGAGCCACAATTCTAACAGCCAACCTTGGTGGTAAGAAAGAACGGAAGGGCAGCCGGGGTAGCAGGGTCATATATAGGGCGCTGCACTGACGCCACTCCAGGAGGCTCCACAGCTGACCCAACAGGTAGCAGCTCGGTTAAAACTTTCTGGCAGCCGTGCATGCAGTGCACCCACTTGATTGGACTAGATATGACCAAACAATGGGATAAGAACTGGGCGAATATCTAGGTAAGCTGATGTACCCTTGGAAGATCTCTGTGTACCTCACCATACACATAGCCCTGGCTGAGAACCACTGCTCTAAGTCAACAGTAGAATATGAGCAAAGACAGGGTGACCAGAAGCAGCAACAGGATATATTTCTGAGTTTGAGACAGAGGGAGTTCTAGAAACATCGATCCCTGCACCACATGCTCAATGTCACTAATGAGATTCAATTTCACGTAATCAGTTATCCACACTGGTACCACGCTTTGGTGTTAGTTTGTTTTCTAAGTTGCCAGTCCCTTTTATAGGCTTGTCATAAGGCCAGAAGGGACCACTATAAACATCTAGTCTGACCTGCAGTACGCTGACCATATCTTTTAATGATTTTTGAGCTCCAGGAGCTTCGTTATCCACAAGCCCATTGGGAAGCACATGTGTTTGATAAGAGATACACAACTCCCTCTGATAGTCAACCAGAGTGGCTTCTGTGTCTGAGTGGGGTAGGCAGCAAGCACTAGAGCCTTGGAAAGGTGTCCCCTTTCTCTAGTTTGTGGTAAAATCCCAAATATATTAAAACATACAATTAGTAGAGCAAAGAGGCTAAACATCCATCTTCTGAGGGAGGACTGGTGGGGTGTGCACTAATATTACATTAAATAAAAACAATGGGCAAAAGCATACATGTCTATCCATAAACATCAGTGACACAGGGCATGATTTAAAAAAAAGGGGGGGGGGATGGTAGAAGTTTATAATATTTAAAGTTTCCTTAAAATCCTCCCTCCCTCAAAAAAAATAGGAAGAGGATTTAAACAGGATCAACAATTTAAATATATATACACAATTAAAAATAAAAAATTCCTCATTGTGGAATCAGAAATAATTATGTTATGTACTAGCTAGGCTACATATCCACATTATCTCTGCAAATGCAACTGTCTCTCTTCTCTTTTTTTCCCCTTCCGAGGATTTGCTTGCCATCTTTTTCAAGTTATCAAATCCCAAATAACAATTAGTGTGGCAAAGATATTATTCATGCAGGAAACCTAAAATAGCACAAGATACATTCTTCTGGAGCAAATGGCTCTCTCGCTATCTTTTGGTTCATGATTTGTGGTGTACATTATTTTTAGTAATACTAGCTGACTGAGCCTACCCCCGAAAGTGGCCAGAGAGCATGACAGCGTGATGATGTCATTCTGTTGCCTGTAAGGAAAAAAAATATTATATATATTTCATAAGCAAGCTTATGAAAACTTAGACAAGTGTTGGATACACATTGATACACATTTGAGAAGAATGCTGCTAATAGACTTGTATTTTGTCTTAATTTTTTGGCCCCAATCCTTCAGACACTTAAGCTCGTGCTCCAGAGGGACTACCTTTTCAGGGCCAACATACTAGGCAGATCAAACTGGGGGTAAAGATCAGCCAACAGAATACTGAAGACCTCTCACAGTCCAAGTGTGACTTCCTAGAAAAAATGATGAAGATGAACAACGTCGATATCTCAATGTCACAAATGAAGAAAAGGCCCACTGCTACAAAATCAATGGCTATAAACTTATAGCCAACAATTACCACCCAGAAGGGAGGCTGGCAATTTACATCATGCAGGAGATCAAAAATATGAGGTTTTACCTCCTGCAGTGCCCAAAGGAATAACTATCATCACCAAGCAAACCACCATTAAGAGATATAAATCAGGTGGTACATCAGGGCCCCAACCAGCTCTGCAGAATGCACAGGACCCCGCTTCTTTGTGGGCAACTTAGTAGTCACTACACACAATGAGGCTATGCTGCAAACAATCTTCCAGGCAAAGCACTGACACACTGATTTCAGCCAATGATATGCTTCTCCTTTTGGATGTGAAACAGTTGGTCACTTTCCCGTCAGCAAGATGGGGCAGAGGATATTGCCCAGATCTGAGGTTCAGCTCTAAAGATACAGGGCACACCCATACCCATCCCAGGGATCATCCTCACTGACTTCATCAACACTCAGGACCAGGCCTGCTGACAGGGTGGCAGTAAAGGGGTAATTGCCCTTTAAATCCCCGCTGAAGTGCTGTGCTGGAGTGCTGGGCTACTCATTCCAGGCAGTGCTAAGGGCTTGGTGGGGGGTGAGAGAGGGACATGTGTGCTGCATTCCAGGCAGTGCTGAGCACCAGCCACCCTCAGCTCCACCCAATCAGGAAGCACGGAGCTGCTCCTCCCCACCCCCACCTTGCCCAGGAGCCTTCGGAGGCTGTCAGGACAGACCCAAGAGACCCATAATGGCATTCAGATTCCAAACTAGCGCTGTGCTGGAACTCCCCTGGGGACTCAGATACATTCCCAACTAGACTGCAGCCAGCCATGACATGAGATAATCTCCACTTGTGGATAGGCAGCCGAATCAGCCCACGTCAATCATCACGGGAACTTTAAAATCAACACGTCTGCAATGGCTTTCTGAATTAGCAAACATGGAACTTGCAGCTATCCGCGGGGATACAGCTGTGGCATGAGAACTTAAACACCCCAAAGACTATTCAGAACTTCCAATGCAGCATGTTATAAATACCACAAAACCCAAAAACCACAAAAACCACTGGGGGACTACACATGACCACCTCAGGTCTCTGGATCCAGCCAGGGAATGGCAATGTATCTGGCCATTGTCCTTCAAGCAAACACATGAACACTGACCCAAGAAGCTGCCGTCTTAGTTTTGATCCACCATGCGACCTGAACTGCATTCAAACAATCCAGGGAAGATGTGACTACTTGATTATCAAGTGAAAAATCAAAAATCCTGTGCTGAGGATCCACTGAACACATCATAGCACAGCCCTCCAAATATGGATTTAAAAGTCAACTGGATGAATCTATAACTTTGGGGGTGGGAGTGGGGCTTGCTATGGACCTATACCTGCATCTACAGAATGTTGTTCAGCACATGGAATGCATGAGGCAGAGAGGGAAATGCACTTGATTAAAATTACACATCTGTATATGAACGGTTTGCAGGATGAGTGCCTTTAATGGTAAACACTTTAAGGCAAGGGCTGTCTTTTACTCTGCATTTGTACAGCACTTGCAAATGAGGCTTTGATCCCAATTGAGGCTATTTTACCAATAATTACCTGTAAGATCTATGAGTGGAAGGACTGTTTGAAGAATAACCAAATTCCATGGTGTAATGTGAGCGTTCAGTAGCTGGTGAGGGCGGAGGGTTCAAAATCTTTAAAAAAAAAAAAAGGCATTTTTTAAACAGACAACAAAAATAAAGAGGAATGAAGAAAAATAAATACAGCCATAATGATATTGCTACCCAATATTAAAGAAACACTAGTTTGTAGCTTACACCTTTACTTCTTGTTAAGGCCAAGCTCAGTGCTGCACTCAGACAAAGCCATGGCCTCTTCCCCAATGTAAATTCCTCTCTATATTCTCAACACCCTGTGAACACTGCTTGTGCCTATTTCCATCTAGGCTATCACTCAGCTGTCCTCCTATGGAGCTGATGACTGTTGCTATTTGGAAACACTTACTGCTGAAAAATAAACCTAAACTAGGCAATCCAATCCTAGATTGTCATCACGCATACTGCTACCCTAGGCAAACTGGCTGAGGACTGCCACAACCTGTTCATAGTTACCAGATACAGTGCTATCTCCAGTATTGTTATTTTGCTGCCCATGGCCTCAATATGGCTGAACAGATTCTAGGTCTTATAGGAAAAGGGATATTTCAACTATAGTGAAATAAATGTAAGGGGAGAACATTATGAGGCCTTTATCATCATGGTCAGCAGTTCAAATTCAGCCATCACTGACATGAATCCAATTTATCACCACCTGCTGGCTGTTTTGTGGGTTATATACAAAGTAGCCAGCAGCAGCCATTGCTACAGGAGAGCAAGATTACTTAAGAGGTGAGACTGCAAACTCTTTTGGGCTTGAATTTTCTGCTTGTTCTGTGCTTGTACCAGTGGCGTAGCCAGGACGGAACCCTTGGTGGGTGGGCAATGACAGCAGGGTTGGGGAGGGAGGACAGGAAGGATCAGCCAGGAGGAATCAGGGCTTCCTTCTCCTCAACCCCTCCAGCCCGTCTTGTGGGGTCAATGGACAGTCTGGCCAGGCACCCCCCACTCTCCAGGCACACACCCAGGGAGTGGGGGTTTACCCTGCTCTGCCCATCTGGAGCTCCAGCTAGGGAGCAGGGTTGGGGTGCAGGGATTTGCCCCCTTCCCCACCTGGGAGTGCCAGGCAGGCAGGCGGGTGGAGCAGGGCTGAGTGAGGTAAGCCCCTATGCTCCAACCCCTCTTCCTGGGTGGACATAACAGGCCAAGCCCCCAACGACGCTCCTCAGCTGGAGCACCGGTAAGCCCCTGCACCATGACCTCTCTCCCCAACTGCAGCGCTGGAAGGGTGGGTGGAAAAGGGTAAACGCTAGGGCCAGAGCAGAGCTGGGGCTCTGGGTGAAGGTCTGGATGTTGAGTGGCTGGTTTGTACTGCTGCTAGCACATCGGGGTCCCGGTCCATGACTGCAGCTCCTAGGTGATATGCGAATATAAATATGTTTAATAGCGTGAAAGCTATCACTGCAAGACAGTCTTGGTTGAGGTGTAATTGGTACTCCTGCAAGGACTGTGGAGAACAGACTTCCCTTTGGAACTGATCCAACAACCATGCCATGTTCGGGGATTTTACAGTCTCTAGGACAATAAGTCCAACAACTTTCACCACCACTAAATCCACTTACTAACTTTTCTTAGCAAGACATTCCTTGGCAGCTATGGATGAGGGCATGCTGTGCACACACACGTTTCCTTCAAATTCACTCACTCCACATTCAACCAAACAAATGTTCTAGGACTAGAAATCCAAAACAAAGCCCTTGCCAAAAAGCTGACCTCTGGCATGCACTGCGACTTGGCTGAAAGATATCCACACATGAGTGTGTGACTTACTGGAGGGAAGTAAGTGCCCTTGGTACTTGAAGAACTACTAGAGGATGCCCCCGTGACATGGGCTCTGTCATAGGGAGGTCCGCTACTTCCGGCCATAATGCTGAGGGAGCTGATCACAGATTTACCACGAGACATTCCTAAAGAAGACAACAGACACAGCATACGTCAGTGTTAAACTCTTTGAAACAAAAATGAAGAAGGGATGGGATTAAGGCTAAAATAGCTCTACAGGATACAGGCACTATGAGCGCCTGAGTCAAAAATAAAACAGAAAAATACGTCTGTCTGTATTAAACAGTCCTAGTCTCCTAGATGGAAAAGGGAAATGAAGTTACTGAGTGAATAAACATGCTGTCTTAACGTTCTAGCCACTGAACTGTGGAACCCGGCTCGGGGCTGCATGACAGCTTGGGCAAAGAGAAAGAGATTCTCTTCACTTGAATGGATGTCAAAGGCTTGAGAGCGAAGACACTTCAGCACTCTCTATACTTGAGAATAAAACAAACTGATTTTGCTTGTCTCATGCATGAGAGAGGCAAGAGGTTTTGTTCTTTCTTTTCCACAAAGTGAGTTTTGGCAACAAAGTGAAAGGAGACTAGGATGGAGGCTTGGCAGAAGGGGAAAAGGCATGTGACTATACTCTGGACTATAGTGAAAATACTGCTCAAAGCTCCCTTTTATGAAAAGCAGCTTATCACAGGAAGGCAAAAGGGGCTGATGCATGGATATAATCCCACAATAGGCTCACCAACAGCATCTACAGGCACCTCTGTTTCAGTTGGATCAGAATAAAGCAGCAAGAGTACGGATTTTATTTAAAAGGCTGAGCACTGACTCATAAAAGCTCATTATTTGTAAAGAGACATACAGGAGTCATGCACATTCATTAAGACTAAGTGAGCTTTTGTGATTTAGCCATATAGTTTCGTATCCCATTGGTAGGTCCGTACCAAATTCACAGCCATGCAAAACATGGACCATGAAATCTGGTGTCCTCTCATGGAATCTGGCTTTATGTGTACTTTTACTCTATACTATACAGAATTCGCCAAAGACACCAGCATTTCTCAAATTGAGGGTTCTAACTCAAAAGGAAGTTGCAGAGGGATCCCAAAGTTATTTTAGGAGGATCATGGTATTGCCACCCGTAGTTCTGTGCTGTCTTCAGAGCAAGGCAACTGGAGAGCAGTGGTTGCAATGTTGGCTGGGTGCCCAGTTCTGAAGGCAGCACACCACCAGCTGCAGTGCAGAAATAAGGGTGGCAATACCTTACCCATATCTCCTTTACTTTTATACTGCTGCTTTCAGAACTAGGTACCTGGAAAGTGGCAGCAGCTAACTAAGGTCCCAGCTCTGCAGACAGAAGCTCTGCCTTCAGAGCTGGGCTCCCACCCAGCAGCTACCTCTTTCCAGCTGCCCAGCTCTGATGGCAGCAGCAGGTATGCTGGTTTTGGCTGGTGTCATTTTTTTTCCCTACTGGTATTACTAAAGTGACTAGGCATGTCAACATGATCGAGTAAATGATTAACCAATAAGCTTAGTCTTATCGGTTAATCTTATCGACTGCACACATCCTCTCCCCTTGTTGCCTCTGTATCAGACAGAAAGGGGGGTGGGAGTTGGTGCCATGGAGAGCTGGATCTGCGGAGCCACCTGCTCCCCCGCCCCCCATGCTGCTACCTCGGATAGAGAGTGCAGAGGGTAATGGGGGCAAGGCAGGAGATGGTACATATGGGAAGCTGGCTTTCAAGCCACCTGCCCTGCCCACCACCACTATCAGAGGCAGCAGCAGCGATGGGGAGGGGAGGGCAGCTCCATTGAATGCTGGTGCAGCTTCTGTCCACAGGGAGCTTGGGCCCCACAGACAGCGGCTGCTGCTGCCCCACACTGCTGCCTCTGTATGAGAGGCAGCAGGCAGGAATTGCTTTGTGCAGGAAGCCGTATACAGAGGCAGCAGAGTGAGGTGGCAAGGAGTTCCCCAGGAGTGGAACTAGGAGCGCACTGGCTGCTGGACCTACTACTGGGGACTATCGAATAGTCATGTGACCGATAATATTTTGTGCAGTTACACAACTATTCAATTAAGTGCTCTCCAACATCCCTAAAAGTGACACACATGTAGCGCAAGGGCTTGTGAAGTGAGGTGGGTGCTGATTGCACACATCATTGACTGGGAGAGCCGCGTACTCTGTTCATATCCAAACAAAGCACAGCTACGATTCAGTCAGTGCACCCCGCAAATTCTGGGTACGCAAGTGCAGTTAGCAAAACTACGCTATCCCAGGAGACCATCTTGGTTATGATAATCTTTTAGCCAACTGAGATGGAGGAGGGCCACTCACATGACTCAATAACTAGCCTAGGTTGCCCATCACTGTTTATACAATCACTCCCGATCATTAAAGATTCCATAGAACTCTCCACAAGTACCCAATACAGGGAATTTGTCCCTGAGAGAGGGCAATTCCCAATAAACCCAAGTGATTATATTCCATCTAAGTTCCCATTAATTTAAGACAAGTCTCTGGCTTTATTTCCTGAGCCTATGTGCTGTGTAGAATCGTTGGTGCCATTCCACTAGCCCCAGAAGAGGATGGATTTCAGAAGCGGAAGAATCGATCCTTTGGTGTGTGTCTATATTGTTACTAGTAACTCTGCTGCTTGTAGATAGTGCTGTTAGAAATCAAACAACAATTGAGTAAAAAACCACAAAGGGTTCAATCCTGTCTTCCAAGAGCCAGGTGCCTAGAATCATATACCTGGTGCAAACATCTACTTTGCTGGCAAGCATGAACAGGAGCTTCCACGATAAGTACATAGTGCCATTAAGAGACAGAATAAGGAAACCAGTGTAAATTTTAAATGCTTAGACATCTTGATACTTACCTGGGAGAGATCCTGACAGAGAACTTGGGTGAGGCACATAACCAAGTGGTACAGAGGCTGGGCCATGCACCACATAGTCATTAGTCATCGTTTCCCCATCGCCTTTCATGCGAGGGCACAGCACTCTCTGGCAGATAAAGTACATTGCTCCAACCACAAAAACGGTGAGGATCACGCCAATGATCGAGCCTATGGTATTGTTGGCTTGTGGTGCTGGCTCCTCCGTTGTGTCTAAATGGGAAGAGGTTAGTCAGATTCTGTAACTTTGGTTAGATTCAACAACTTCAGATACACTAAGAGTAGTCTACACAGCAAGTAGTTATTTTAACATAATATTGAGCCTGAGGACTTCTTACTCGAACTCCTGTAACCCTCATTTTACAAGGAATAAGGGAAGTTGGAGTAAGCGTGCTCTACTTCGGACTGCCTACTGTGTAGACAGCGGCAAAAGCAGAAATAAGTTATTTCAACTTAGGCTACACAACTGACGCAGCTCAAGTTGCATAGCTTATTTTGGCATGAGCCCTGCTGTGTAGATGTGCCCTGAGATTAGCATTTATGCCACTCTCCCCAAAAGAAAAATTGGAAGCCTATGCTACTGAGCTTCCAAACCACTTACAACAGCCTTCTAATGAAACACAAGGTGTGAATAAATGCCCACTAGGGACTTGGATGACATTTTTACCTGTAATTAAAGACTGTTACTTTTCACATTTGTCCTAAGTAGCATGTGAAAATCTAGAGGAAATGCCATTACTCTAATTAATACCATTTACTTCCACTCCTCTGCTGTCTTGGGGTTTATTATTCATGGCCTAGGATTCACTGATGCTAAACACGAGAACCAAAGAACCAATGTCCAATTGTATTTCCAAAGGCACTTAGGCTGCCCTGTGTGCACTTCAGATTGATGGTATCAACTACATCTGATCATCTGTCCTAGAAGAATCATCTCTGTGAGGCAGTGCCATTCTGAAATGTTATTACAAGCCCAACAGCGGCCAGACATGATGCCATTCTGGAAGGCAATGATTTTTTTTCTAGGGCTCTAGAGGCTTTCAAGGCAGGCAGACACAAGGGATATTATATTCCAGAAACCATGATCTGCAACTATCAAGCAATCAGAGAATTACATCAGCTTTAGGCACAAAGAAAGCTTTTAGCATTTTTCTATGTGAAGAGACAGGAGCACTCTTAAGGTTCTTCAAGTACACTTGTGAATTCTGTGGCTGAGAGAACCATGACTCAGAGCAGAATGGGTCTGACAGCCTCAGGACATTGTGAAGAGATTCTTATAGCACAGAGAGTGCTTCCACCTACACATACATGCATATTATAAAGCATGATTTACCATTTTTAAAAATATACGTTTTTGTAACTCTTTTGAACCTGAGACATTTGTCAGAATAAGTATTTTCATTCCAAAAAAGCGACATGTCAATTAGCTCTTCCCACTCTAATGATCCCTGTGGATTACTTTTTGAGCAACAGGTGAGGCAAGAGCAGCCACCTTAAAATCGATGCATGTGGCTTTATTAGTGGGTTATTAGAATTCTAATTAACTGAGGAGGTAAACAACCATCTTCACTGGCTACCACCATGTTTCTGATCTCAGAATTCACACTTACAGCATCCTTGCTCATCTGAGCTGTCACTGCAGTCCAAGTGGTGATCACACTTCTTGTTTTTCCCAATGCACTGGCCACTGGCGCAGCGGAACTGATCGGTTAAACAAAGCACTGGCGAGGGAAGAAAATGTCCAGAAATGATCAATGTCAGATACTCAAGAAAGCAAAGGTTCTGGAGGTGGGTAAGGCAGGATGGACCCTCCCCAAACTGGAACTCCCTCATCTAGCAACATCTGTGGTCCAGCAGGACCACAGGTGCGCCTGGAACAGGGAGTCCTGGCTGGGAGCCCCAGTAGCAAGAGGGCTGGCGGCTTGGAGCCTGGCAGGTAGTGCAGCAGAGGCCACAGCAGCCCCAGCAGCAGGGCCAAGGATGTGGGCAGCCCTGATAGCAGGGCCAGGGCTGGAGATGCAGTAGCTGTGGTAGCCCCAATGGCAGGACTGGTGCTGTAGATGCAGCAGTCCCAGCAGCCCCAGAAGGGAGGCCAGGGCTAGGGACACAACAGCCTCAATAGCAGGGTTGGGGCAGTACGGCAGCCTGGAAGGGGGGAAGGCTGGGGCCAACATTGGGGAGGGAAGGTAGTCTGGGGAGCTGGCTGCAGGGGACCTCTTCTGGTCCGTCAAATTCCTTCGTTCAGAACCGTTCAGGTCCCAAGGGTGCCGGATCAGAGAGGTCCAACCTGTACAGTGATAATCTGAGTGTGTGATTTCCTGTTTTCAGGGTAATAAATGTAGTATCCTGTACTGAATGAACTCAGAGGCAGAAGGCCACAATATTTATAGGAAATTAACCTTGGATACAATTAACAGAAAGCACACAAGTTATAATTACTAGTCACATTATCTATTACATATTTGGATTTTGAATGAGATAAAAAGAATTAAATTACAAAACCTTGTCACACAGTTAAAAGATAAAAGTTATTACTTTTCTAAAAAGATAACCTTTTTTTCCAACATCCTCATCATACTCTTCTTCCTTCCCTTTCTTTCCCCAGCCCTGTCATTCCCTCCCTGTACGTGAGAAAAATTCTAGGGCATTGGACAAAATATTTTTATTGACATTTGCAATTTAAACCTGAAGTGGAAGAAAGGAAGGGACTGGAACTCTCCCAATTCAGGGTGCAAACATGAGTATGTGACTATTAGTTTGGAGAGATGAGTCCTCCAGGGAGGAAAAGGTGTTAAAAGGGTTTAATTTACAAACAAGGCACAACATTATGACTAGTAACAGAGTAGAAAGGGATGTATAGTCATCCTATGGTTATTGAGAAAACTAAACTGAACAATAATTATCCAAACACCTGCATTCAGGGTAATAATGGCTGTCAACTGATCAGAGTACATTTTATATACTGTATGATTGTGACTATCAGTAAGAACGCAAGGCATTGTTAGACTAGTGTGTGACAGAGTGACAATATCTTGTCATAACTGATAAAACTGAGATAAGCTTGATTGAATCAATTTAAACCATATTGAAATAGGGAGAGTATCTTTGTGGTATGTTGTATTACAAAGGCCATGGTGTAAATGCTATTATAGAACTGAATGTATCCTTTCTAGTAGGAAGGAGGGATGCCAGCAAACTTCCTGTGATGAGCTGTGAAAGTCCTTGGGGAGATGTGCATATACTAGTTAATACGAGATTCTCCAGAGACCAACAGACAAAGAAGAGTCTTTGGATAAAACCCCCTTGAGTTTAAGATGACTCAGGGGCCTTCTTCCTGGTACAGCATATGGAGAGGACTCCTGATTCAAGGAGGGCCCCAATCCTCAGGGGAGGAATGGAAGGCTGCCACATAAAACTGTGTGGTTGTTCTGACATTAAGCTCCTATGAGGTTGTAGCCACAAGGAAACCCCTAGAGTGAAGTGATGCCAAATTAATAGGTGTGCAGGCTCTGGCACTGTTTCAATATGATTTCTCTGCAACACTTTTTACTTTCAGAATAAGGTAGGTTCACTTAGAAACAGCTGTGTGGTAACTTGAATCTGAAGCTATTACTGTTATCTGTCTCTGAAAAGGACACGAGCAGATTGTCCTTACTGGAAATGATGTAGCAAAAGCAGGGAACTGGGCAGCCTGGGAATACACTAGGTAGAATAGAATGAGACATGAGTATTGGGTGCCCTTGTTGGGTGCCACTGAGAAAAAATATAGGTGCAGCTGCCCTCAGAAATAACATTCTTATTTTCCTTAGTAACTGGTGAGGGCATGCTTTCTCACACGCATCAGACAAGACAACGCCACATCAGCATGCCCATTTTTAAACCATCTAAAACTTTGCAGCCAGAAGCTTCTCATCCTAAAGAAAAGCTATCAACAGAATCAGACCCTAATCATGTGAAAGACAGGATGGCTTTCAAGACTGGTAGTGGATAGGGAGACTTTCATTCAAAATCAGTTAGCTTGTTGAAATCTGGCTTAGGTCATTAGTCTGCTTAATCATTCTCAAATGACGGCTGGCTTGGGTCCTGGTCATAGCATCTGACTTTAAAGCAGCCCTTTCGATTCAGAGATTTTTAAGGCCTCAGAAGAGCAATGAATGGATGTGGAAAAATGGAATGCTCAGAAGTGGCCCCTCCAGGCCAAGAAGGATGCGGATGGGACAGTTTGCCTGTGTTATGCTTGGTTTAACTGACACAGAACTTCAGACTCCAGCTAACATGAAAATGCATTTATTATTATTAATAATAATGATTATTAATAATAATAAAAAAGCCCTCTAAGATTTTAAAAATCAAAGGTGATTTGGATTTGGCACATTTTGCAGCCGCCTTTTGCTGGGGTTTGCAGGTGGTGGATATCTCCAAATCTCTCTTATCTGTCTGCAATCTTGCCCGTTCACACATTCACCCACTTTAAATTCCATTGTATTTGGATATTACATAATAAATAAATATTTTCCCAGTTTCCATTAATTAGTGAGAGGTATCAGCACACACCTAAACACACAATTAAGTCCAATACTATGAGATTTTTAGAACCTGAAATAACATTCTTAAAATAGCAAGTGTTCATCAGTAGAGCTTAATGTGCTTTATAAAGGCCAGTCAGTTTCTTTAGCCCATTCTACAGATGGGGAAACAGAGATAGAAAAGTGAAATTACTTGCCCATGCTCACACAGCAAACAAGTGGTGGAGCTGGGAATCAAATCAAGAGCCTCTGGTTCCTAGTCCAGTGCTGTATCAACTGGCGTCAGATTTTTAAAGGTATTTAGATGCCTCACTCCCAAGTATCCACTATACCTTCACAGTTCTTTTCATCAGAGTTGTCCTGGCAATTTGCCTCTCCATTGCACCGGAGGGTGCTGTCTATGCACTGTCCGCTTTCACAGTGGAACTGGGAGTCTGAACAGATAGGACAGTTCTTTTCATCACTATGGTCTTCGCATTCAGTGAATCCATCACAGCGCCAGGCCACGGGAATGCAGTCAATCTCCCCTGTGAAACAGGTGAACTGCTGAGGGGAGCAGGTTGGGGGTTCTTTTGGGAAAAAAAAAGAAAACAAAAACAAACCCAAATGAACCCATCAATAATCCATGTCCACAAGCAGCACACCTTCAAGTAGAGAGGCAGGAGAACCTAACTCTTTGGGCAAACATGCCGCATGCGAAAGAATTTTTCTCCTTCAATGATCTGAGCTGCTCTGAGCCAGCTCAGATCAGAGTGAATGCTCACATCACTAGAGTACAATCTGACACAAAGACAAGATGAAGAAACATATGCATGCAAAATTCAAAGGGCAATTCTCCACCCACAACGCCCTTTTCAACAGCACAGTCTACCCTTCTCTTGTAGTTCATTAAGTCTTCAAAGGGCTTCAATTTGAAGTCAACACATGAAGAGTGTTTCTCTTCCTCCTTTTCCCCCCCTTTCCCCACTGTGTACACAAAAGATGGCTCGCTTTCTTTTTAATGTTCGACAATAATTGTATAGAAAACATTCAAAGGATAAAATGTGGTGCAGATGGATGTGCTGTGACTCAGTGTCTAGTTATGTGCCCTCTATTACTGTGTTCAGTCAAACTTGTTTTAAAAAGACAAAAAAAATTGCTCCATCCAGTCAACTCCTGCTATCTCAACACAGCTGTTAGCAGTTATTTAACATTTACTACAGTAACTGTTAATCTTATGTAGTAAGCATGCATTATAAAAAAAAGAGAGGCCCTTTTTTGGCCTAGCATTAAGTTTGCACTCAGAAAATATCTGGATTATGTTAGTTCTTTTTCCACTGTGTGACCACATGTCGTCTTGCTGGCTACAGAACTGCGCAACAAATCCACTCAAAATGTCAACAGAAAGAGAATGAAGCTCCTGAGCTCTGCTTTCCTCTCCTCTTTGAGCCAGCAGAGCCTGGCCACAGAGGCAACATTTTGCATTGCTCTATAATGACGACTCCCCATCTACAGTTTAGAACGCCATGCATGGGATGACTTTGAAGGCCAAAACGAAGAGGAAGAAGGAAGGATAGAAGATACACAAAGCAAAAGGTACGAGAATCGAAAAAATCTACAACATTTTGAGGAAGCAACTTGGTATTTTAAAAAAATTCAGTGCAAGAATCGTTGATCCTTAACCTCGTGCTTTCAATTTGTGCACGTGCGAGAGAGAATTTAGCAAAGGCAAAAAGTTGACAAATCAACACACTAGCAAATAAAGTCCTCTGTTTAACCATAGATCAGATACAAAATTGGCAAGAGAGATTCCAATTCCCCTCACTGTGCTCTGCCAAAATTCTCCTCTAGAAGAATCACCTCCAGGCTCTGTGAGTTAGTCAATCCTTGCACTCTGCTGAGAAGGCCACCAAGGGGGCCAATTACCCAGCTCTGGTGTGGCGCTAAGTTGAAGACTGAAAAACTCATTTGTACTTTCTGTTGATATTTATTGGAAGAATTATGCAACCCTAAATTGAGCCTGCCAGAAGTAGTTATGACAACTGTTTTACTGCACCCAAAAAATATTTGTATTTTTATAAGCCACTTACGCAAGGTTCACAAAAGAGTGCTCTGTACTCCCTCTGCTGGCTGTTTAGCAGCAGCTATCTTGAAAATACCTCTTGCCAAGAGCTCTTTGTTTAGCATTGGTGGTCCTGGGAAAGCCACACAAAAGTGTTGTGGTGTGCTTTAAAGTAGTAGCGCACATAGCATTGATTAAAGAGTCCCATTAATTACAGCTGTTTTCAAAGCCACCTGCTTGTCAAATAGAAAATGTTATACCAACGGAGGCAGGAAGGAAGCGGCTCGACTTTCTCAGATGGGATTACAGACTATTGAGTAAGAAAACCTGAAATAACTTACTTAGTAAGGACAAATGGAAATTTGTATATTTGAAAAGCCTTCTTGCCTCAGAGTTAATTAACGCAACTCAATGGGACAGGTTCAATTATGGAGCTATGTTAAGAGAACAAAATGGTATCCAGATACTTGGCATTTGCTTTTCCTTCCCAGATGGAAGCATGCGGCTAACGTGAAGGCCATCCTAACCCCATTCTAAGGGCTCAACTAAGGAAATACAGGCACCTGGAACGACTCACCTCCACAGGATAGTTCATCCTGAAGAAGAACAAGGTGCACCGGGCAAGAACATCGGGTTGTACCATCACCCTTCACAATACAAATGTGCGAACACCCGCCATTATCTTGAGAACAAGGATGCTGTCCTGCAATTTATAAAGAAGATCTTTTATGCATTAACCTCCACACATCTGGTTGAGATCATCTAGGGTGAAGAAAATCACTGGCAGACCTTGGGGGAAAAATCATCCAGATTTACTCTCTCAGGCCCTGATCCCATGAGCACAGACAGAGTTGATTCCTCTGCACTTCTGCAGAGGCCCACTGGCTTCTGAGGGGCTCTATATGGACACAGGATTCACCTGTATGGAGCTCATTATGGCCACTGCCCTGCTTCTTTTTCTCCCTCCTCAAGTGGAAAGCCTTCAAGACAAGCAGCTCTAGTCATCTATAATTTATAAGTGAATTGAAGGATCAAAAAAATTAATGCAGTGCAATCTTTAAAAAAAACAAACACAGTAAACAAAACCTATGGGTTTGTTTCTTGGAAAGATGGAATTGGTTCTAGAGGAATAAAACAAAGGTACCTACGCTTAAAAATGAGAGTCTCTCTCTTTCTTAAAATGGCTGCAAAAGAGCAAACTTTTCTGATTTACAAAGTCTGATGCATTTGCACTGCCTCCAAAACTCAAATGAGTACACTCTAGATAAATGTGTCTTTTCATTTTAATGTTTAATAAGGATGCCCTGTTTCTTCTTGAAATTCTTGACAGATTTACTGTGATTAATGGCAAACAAAGCTACTAGTCATCTGCTTTAATTAATGTCCCCAGACAGTTTCCTAAAAAATTCTCCAGTTCAAAGCACACATCATACTTATGTTAATGTGATTGCTTCCTCTATGATGGCTGTGGCTCCACTGGGCTGCACCCATACCCAGTCAACTTCCCATTCATGTCAAGTTAGACCAAGATGATATTTTAATCTCTATAGCCACTCAATTCTTGGCGGCTGTCACAGGACTACGCATATGGCTGCTGCCCATTAGGGGATGTTTACACTGGAAGGCATCATTTCTAGCTCGAAGAGACCAGCACTATTTCCTTCTGATCAAGCTAGTGTGCTAAAAATCAAAGCGTACTTGCAGCGGTGCAAGGGGAGGGAGGGACCAGCCGCCTCAAGTTTGTACCTAGTCGTTTGGACAGGACCATAACTCGAACCACCATGGCTTCCCTTCTCTTTTTAGTGTGCCAGCTCAATCAGAGTTAAAGTGGATATTCCTCAGGTGGGAATAATCACATCTTCCAGCTCTGACGTAGATATACTCCGAGTGACAGAATCCAATAGTGTCTTTTTGTGATGGTCTCCTATCCAACTGGGACACAACCAAGAAAAACTCATTCCACATGGACTCTTTATTAGCCTTTTGGACACTACTCATTTGGGATGGGTTTAAATCCATAGTCTAGAAAGAAATGTCCCCCGATGCCATTAATAATCCCCTACGCTGCACAACTCCCCACCCGTATCAGCTCATCCCCCATTGTTTCTTACGAAGAGGGATGGTACTTACTGTATTCTTGGATGTTTAGTTCTTTAACTGCATGTATGTCACTGAGCTGTGCAATACGAGCCTGGACTTTCATACGTCCTTCTCGACCAGTCATGTCCATTTTTTCAATCATTTGCTGCTGCCTGTCAATCCAGTACAGCCAGTTTTCAAATACTGTCAGCCCGACAGGTTGCAAGATATTGGAGTCTTCTAAAACTATTCGATTGGCCCCTTTGGAAAGGAGATTATGGTTTAGCAATTGGAAGCGATTGAAATATTATCATGAACATACTTTACACAGATGCAAACATGCATATTACACACAAAGCCCAATGTCCTCAGTAGCAATCCAAATTGAAATTCTGCAGCCAGATCTCCAATATATAACACCCACCCACCCATGGAAAAGAAGTTCCAAGATAGCTTCTGGGTAATCCAAAAAAAAGGAAGGTGTTTTTAAATGATATATGATAGCGAGCAGTACAGCGAGCACAGTAACATTTTTGGCACTTTGATATTAAATTCAGCTTTATGCTTATTCAGTTTTTTCATTTGGTACTGCAAACTGTATTGTACTGATAATGCATAGATGCATTCTAAAAGCAGCTGGATGTAGAGCTGGCATCGATAGGTTTGGTAGCTCATAACCCCAGCATCTCTGGGGTGCTGCATAGTTATGAAAGTAAAAAACTTGCTTGAGTCCCAGCACACCTTTCATTACAAATTAAGAACTAACTGCATTGTGTGAAATAGTACTTCCAGTTGTTTTAAACCTGCTGCTTATTAGTTTCATTAGGTGGCCCTTGTTCCTGGGTATTGAGAAGGAGTAAACACCACTTCCTTATTCACTTTCTCCACACTATACAGGATGGCCTTACTTTCCTTTAGCGCCGCAATTATCTAGTGGCCCCATTGTTTGTTTGGCAGGCTTCCTGCACCTGACATACTTAGAACATGTTTTTGCTGCAAGTTTTTCAGTCTTTGGGTAGCTGCTCCTCAAATTCTTTTTTTGGCCTGCTTAATTGTATTTTTATACTTGCCTTGACAGAATTTATACTTAATTTTTAAAGGATGCACTTTTGCCTCTAAGCATTAGTTTTACTTTGTTGTTTAGCCATGATAACACTTTTTGTGGGGGGTTTTTTACATTTCAAAATATGTTTTATTTAATATGAGTCTATTATACTGTTTTCAAAAAGCTTCCATGCAGCTTGCAAGGATTTCACTTTTGTGACCATGCCTTTTAATCTCCATTTAATTAGCGTCTTCATTTTTATGTAGTTCTCCTTTCTGAAGTTAAATGCTACTATGGTGGGCTTCTCTGGTGTTTTTTCTCCCACAAGGATGTTAAATTTAAGTACATTATGGTCACTATTACCAAGTGGTTCAGCTACACGGTAATTTGGGGGTTTGGCTCACATGAGGGGATTAAAACTTTTTCCAAAGAGAAGTAGTTTTTCTCCCTATCCCTCATGGAATGGATCAAGAGCAATTTTAAGTTTGGCATGGGCTTGAATTGGGGGAAGGGAAGGCCTGTTGTTGACTTCTGTTCATCAATATGATGTAAAATTGTAGTGAAGACAAGGCACGTTGTAGTTTTCACACTGGCTTGTAGGAAAATGTAAACCCTTAACTCACTCTAGGGTTGCCAGGTGTCTAGTTTTGAACCAGACAGTCCAGTATTTGAGCTTTTTGTTCAGGAAACAAATTGAGAAAATATAAATGAGAAAATATAAATGTCTGGTATTTTCTAAATAAGATGTAATGTAGATTGTGATGTAAAGTCAAGTGTGTCTGGCCTTTTTGTTCAAACCATCTGGCAACCCTTAACTTACTCATAGTCCAACTCAACCTGAAAAACTCTTGTGAAAATGACAAACTGCCTTGCCTTCTCTAGATTTTCACTTTGTATTAGTTAATTTGAGTTAGGAATACACCTTTTCCCCCCCAGTGAAGACTCCCTCTCAGCTCCCCATATTAGCAACCTAAGCAGCAGCCAGAAGAAGCACATGAGCTGAATGTTTATGCTGAACTCATAGGCACTTGATTATTCAACAGCACTGACTTTTAAATAGCCATTGTTAGATTTCAGAGTTAAAATTCCATTTTGATTAAAGAAAGCATAGTTCATACTTGTCTCAGAGCTACTGCTGAAGATGGCCTGCAAACTTACTCTGCACCATTTTACATTGGCTTTTTACATTTATTTCCTTCACAACTCTAGGGTTAGAAACTTATATTTAGCGTCCCTCCACACACACAAAAGCTGTGATAACACTGCATAATTAGCTGTGAATTAAGTGAATTGGCAATAGATTCAATGAGTTTATTATGCCTTGCACTTAACACTTACTTTTAGTCACACACACGCATCACAGAAACTAACAGTATAGAAAACCCACAGTTGAAACATTTCGATCCACATCCAAGCACTGCCAAATCTTCTGCAGTGTTCAGGTCATTTCTATCTTACACTTGTTTTTAAAATTTACAGCAAGCAATAGCTTGTGAACACGTTCAATTAGACTATGATCCCCCCCTCCCACCCCAAAAAAGATGTTTTTTTAAAAGACACTAGTACAGTGATCACCACACATAAAAGGCTATAGGTTTGGTTTTTTTTTCCCAAGGAATGTGAGCACAAAATTTGCTTTTGGGATCAAACAGTTATCTATTTGTGATGATTATGATTGAAATTGAGTGTTTTATTATTTCATAATCTCAATAGGTTTTCTATTCTTCAGTCAGTGTTCATTAATATCATTACCAATGTTTTGCATTTTATAGTCTTTCATTAGATGCTCTCTAAGTGCTTTACAGTAAGTTAAACTAATACTTATCTCCATTTTAAGATGGGTAAAGTAATGCACAAATTGATACAAATTGTATCAACTATTGAACCTATTATACTTTTAGTCGATGGGATGTAGCTAAATGGAGGTAGCTCCAGGAGCCGACTGCATCTGGGACTAATCCTGGCTTTCGCTGAGTCCAGCAGCCCCTGGCTGCTGCGAACAGGGGCTGCTTGGCAGCAACAGCCCATCTGCAGAGGGTGTGTGTGCGTGTGCCTGTGTGTGCGCATCTCCAGCTCCCCACTAGGACCCCTACAGACTGGGGTTGCTTCGCAGCAGCCTCCTCTACCTCCACCCCCTGCTGCCTCTAATGGGGGGGGGGGGGAGGGAGGCAGGCAACACCCTGGAGATGGTGCTTGAGGGAACCAGCTTTTAAGACAGCTCCCCACCCCTTCCAGCACTGGCTCCTGTTTCCCCACCTTGCTGCCTCTTATAGAAGGGAAGGAGATAGGGGAGGCCTTTGCCTATCAGATAGTCGATTAGTCGCTTATATCCCTAATTCCTACAGTAACAGGAAAGCCCCTCTTTTGCTGTAGCTTATGTCTACACTGTGGGGTTATGCCAGGATAACTATGGTGCCATAGCTCTACTGTTATACAAATAACCTAGGAATCATGGCTTTAAACTATAGATACTACTTTCACTCAGTGACCTGGAGCTACACAAGTGATGAATTTGGCCCTAGGAAAGATGCTGATGGATCCATACAGCACTGAAGGGCAACCTAGGCTACAGAGTGGGACACATGAATGGCCCTCCATCTCAGTCGGCTGCAAGATTGTCGTCCCCAAGATGATCCCCCGGAATAGGGTAGTTTTACTGACTGGGCTGGTGTACCTAGAATTTGTGGGCAGTGCTGACTGATCCATAGCAGCGCTTTAATTGGATGCAGAGGGAGCCCACGGTTCTCACAATGTTGTGTGCAAACAGCACATGCCTCACTTCACATTCCCTTGCTTTACATAGGTGTCGCTTTTGTAATAGTAGTAAGAAAAAAAAACTATGAGATGAAACCCAGCAGAATCTGGCAACCCTGTGCATGGGCAACAATAAACAAAATGTTTCAAACAGCACATGCCTCACTTCACATTCCCTTGCTTTACATAGGTGTCGCTTTTGTAATAGTAGTAAGAAAAAAAAACTATGAGATGAAACCCAGCAGAATCTGGCAACCCTGTGCATGGGCAACAATAAACAAAATGTTTCATGGGCCACACACAGAACCCCAAAGGGCTGCAACCACTGCTGTAGAGAGCAAGGATGTTACATATCAGGTAACTGACTAATTGAATAGTCAATGCCTTTTTTTATTGAGTATTCGATTAGTCAATAGGGCGCCTCCACCTTTGAAGTGCGGCAACAGCCCTAGGGCTGATGCTACACTTCAAAGGCAAAAGCACCGAAGCCCAGAGTCAGCTGGGGACTCTCCAGGGTCATCTGGGGACAGCTCCATGTGGCGCTGCTGCTTCGAAGTATCCCTCCCTTTCTGAGGGTATGTCTACACTACCCTGCTAGTTCGAACTAGCGGGGTCCAGGGTCATCTGGGGACAGCTCCATGTGGCGCTGCTGCTTCGAAGTATCCCTCCCTTTCTGAGGGTATGTCTACACTACCCTGCTAGTTCGAACTAGCGGGGTAGTGTAGACATACCCTGATTGAGGCAGCAAAGGGGGAGGGGGATGACTAGTCAACTATCCTGTTGATTATCCGATAAGCATTTGCTTATTGGATAATCGACTAGCTCTTCACATCTCTAGTAGAGACACATATCCAGCTTGATGAAGGAATTCCTAGGTGAGGTTTCATGGCCTGTGTAATGCAAGAGGTCAGCTAGGTGACCAAAATGGCTCCTTCTGCCCTTGAAATCTATGAGTATAAGTCATCTGTCATAGTCGTGAGATGCCAAGAAGAGGGTGGAGAGGCATAAAGAGATACTTGAGAAAGGGAAGGTATGACCATTGCTGTCAACCTTTAAAATTACTGTTTCACTCTTTTGGATAGAGTTCTTTTATGATCCAATAAGGGGGTGAGCGATCTGCATGATATTTCTCAGCATATTGCAAAAGCTTTAAGAGACAGATTTTTAAGCTACAACTACCTCAGTTTTTCCACCCATATTTATGACCAAGAATAATTTACTATTTGTGACTAAACCAAGACAGTGACATTTATCCTTCCTGAAAGTGGGGACCACAAAGTTGACAAAGCAGCCATTAGTCCCACCAGAAACGTCATAACGAAAGAGCCTAAAGGCTTATAAATCCATATTTCCTTCAGTTTAAAAATGACTAACTGGACTATCCTCCTGCCATTACTTTCCTCATTCAAGATATGCACTGTCCAAAACTTACTTTTTTCTTTACAACAGGCTAAATTTTCAGCAAACAAGAGAGGAGGGGCTATAGATGATTCAGCATTAAAAATTATGCCCAACCTTTAATTTAGTAAACATAGACACTATTTAAGTGCAGAATTTTTACTTTATAAATTTTGCTCATGTGATAGTATTGTGTCTCCATCCATATTATCGTGTTGCAACCTTCCTCCATAATTCAGATCTTAGAGTGAGACTCTCCTGAATTGCCCAATCTTGCCCAAAAGGCCAAATCCTGCTCGTCTTAAGGCTCATCTACAGAGGGAAACTGACCAGAACAGCCATTCCAGCCTAGCTCCCTGTGTGGATCCACACAGCACAATAAAAGCCAATATATTCCAGAATAGTAAGTGTATGTCCAAAAAAAAAAAAAAAATTATTCTGGAATTTATTGACCTTTTATTTCAAACTAGTGTCCACACGAGGAGCTATTCCAGTCCATGCCTTTACTCATCTGAGAAGTCCAATTGATATCAATAGAAATAGAACATAACTGGGCCCCAGGTATCTGTTGGAAGCATTCTTCTTTCTCCTAGCCTATACTCCAATCACATATGAAGCATATTCTCTCTCTTTGTAACAGTAGCAGCACTTGCAGATCCAGGAAGCAAAAGAGGTTTTTAAGAACACACATGCAGAAAAAGTATGCTCTCCATTTTTTAAAAAAAGTCTATTAATCGGGATTCTTTAACTAGCAATCTGACTCAGCAGTCAAGATTTACACTGGTAGTTGCTGTAATTCATCTTGCAGTACAGGTGTCTAACGGTAAGAATGTTTTTGAAAAAATTTCCTCCGTGTTCATGGAAGGAATGGTGAGGATTTAATAAACAATATATAAAATTATGTAACAGCTGCACGTTTAAAAAAAAAGTACGATGGTTTAAAAACAAAGGAGCGGGCTATAATTTACACCAGCCTTCTACTTTGGTGTTCTAAAAATTGACCTAACAGATGGAAAAGGAGAAACAAGGAATGAATAAGTCTTACATGTCATTTAAATCATGCAGATGCTGAATCCATGGTGGTCAAAGTCATCCCAGAATACATTATAGCAAACTTTCAATATTTCAAGGCACTGTGTGTGGTCTAATACTTGATTAAGAGTTAAGACTTCTTTTTCTGGATCTTTGATTAACTTATTGTACATCAGTGGGCAAACTGCTTATGCTTGCAGTGTGTCAGGATACAATCTAAGCTAAGCAATTTGAGTTACTTTAGTAGTGTAACTTTAGTAGTGTAATTGACATAGATCTACTTACTGTGGGGTCCACATTGTGCTGGATTGACGGGAGAAACTCTATCATCAACTCCCCTTACTTATCTCGTTCTGGTGGAGTACCAGAGTCGATGTCCAAGCAATTGGTAGTTTATTTAACTTGTCTTCACTAGATTGCCTAAATCAACCCTGGGTGATTGGATCGTCACAGTGTCAATTAACCCAGTAGTAGCCAGTGCATGTTGACTTAACACTACAGCAAAAAATTTCCACCAAATGGACATTTCCTGGTTTGCTTGACAGATAAAAACCCATGACAAACAGCAGTAATTATTTGTGAACTGGCTTTGAGGGGGAAGCTCATTAAGGTCTTGAAACTAGAAACTGAAGTGAACAGCACTAATTGGAGCAACTATTAGTGCAAATGAATATCTGAAAGGAACAGAACATAAGTTCTACTCTACCTGAAAGGTCACTACTTTCAATTCTCCGGAGGTCTGAATCAGCCCAGAACAATTTACTCAGCTGGCTGTCAAGGGCCAGGGCTACAGGTTTACTCAAGCCACTGAAAAAGAGGATCTCCCGTTCAGTTCCATCCAGTGCTGCCCTCTCGATTTTGGGTGACCTTTCCTGCAGATTAGTGAAGTACATGTACCTGTAACAGGAAGAATTAGGGTCAGACAGATTTGTAAATTATGTAGGTTTTCAACAACTCTTTTCCTCTGTCTCAGAGACAAATTTCTTCCTTTACTTCTGTACTGAAGAAATAGAAGGGGGAGGGAAGAAGCAGCTATTTAACACAACTGATTTGGGGAAAACCAACCATCTTCAATGTAGGGCTAACACTGACCCTTCCCTTGCATAGATGCTCTGCAGGGGCAGGAGGATGGGGAAACAAGCTACCAGAGCTGAGCATACATGCAGGAAACAAGCTTGCTGTGCCTCTCAGTGCTCTGGTGTGCAAGGGAGGGAGCCAGCTAGCACTGCCTATGGAACTGACCATCTGTACAGGAGGTGTTTCTAGGCAGGATGGGGCTATGTCTCTTGCCCTGCTTGTGTTGGGGAAAGGAAACCAGAATTCTCCTACAGCTCCCTGCACTCAGCCCACACTCCCTCTACTGCTCAAGACCCAGCTCCACACGTACTCCCCTCCAGCTTCCCCACACCCAGTTCTGAACTTTCCCCACTGCACCCAGACCCATGGTATTTCTGCTCTACACCCAAGCCTGAGCTATCAATCCAGAAAGGTGGTCAGGCTGAAGAGCATCATCCCCACCAGGAGCCAGGTGGTTCTGGGAGTTCCAGGCCCCATTCTCCTTTTGCATCTCTACTTTGCATCAAGTCTGAGGGGCAGCTGATCCAAATTTGAGCGAGTGGTGTTGTGAACTGATACGGGAGTGCCCAGGGGTGCCCAAGGGTTGCAATACTGGGGTGGGGGAGAAGCACAGAGTTACAGCACCCCTCAAGTCTGAGGGGCAGCTGATCCAAATTTGAGCGAGTGGTGTTGTGAACTGATACACAGGGTTGCAAAATCATTCACATCTTTCATGAGAGAGGGGAGGCTGGGCCAAATGTCTAGCTCTAGACCAGGGCTAAGTGAAGTTGGGTAGGGGTAGGGGGAGCCCTCTGAGGAACCCCTCACTGCACCCATTTTCAAGATGTATAGACAATTTGCCCGTATTGGCCTTCTTCCCTTCTATAGCACAAAGGGCACCTCCTCTTCACTACATACCCTTTCTCTGGGTTCACCACAATGGCCCGGGGCCTGTCTTGTTCTCCTTTCAGCACCACACCCATCGGTTTCCCATCCAAGCGTGTTACATTAATCACATTAGTGGCTTCACAAGTCCAGTAGATGTAACGGCTGTAGATGTCAATGCTCAGGTCATAGGGCTGCATGTCCAGGTTCTGATTAGGAACTGGACTTGTCACCACCGTGAGGCTCTAGGAAATCACCAGAAGGATATTACATGAAGTATGTCACCGAAACAATGATTTTGCTATATCTGCATACATGAAATTGTTCACAGTTACAAAGAGGGCCCCAAAATATAATCTTGAACCAGGGAACACATATTTAGTTAGTTCTCTCTCTCGGCCCCTTGATGAGCAGAATGAGAAGTGGACACAAAATACTTGCCCCTGCAAATCTAGAGGGATGGAAATTGCACCATTTGGCTGCTCAGAAGAACTGATGACGACACTGGACTTCGTGGGAGTACCAAAGATAGATGGAGGAGTGGCTCTGACACCTTCCAGTGCCAGAGTTTGGAGAGGCTGTGGATGCTGTATGAGAGTCTGTACTTCACCTTAAAGGACAAGTCTATCTGCTGAACATTTTTATCTCATTCACCAATCCAAAGCAGATTATATTAGTTAAATCCCAAACACTCTAAGGGTATGTCTACACTAGCCCCCTAGTTCGAACTAGGGAGGCTAATGTAGGCATTCGAAGTTGCAAATGAAGCCCGGGATTTAAATATCCCGGGCTTTATTTGCATCTTCCCATCCGGGCGCCATTTTTAAATCCCCTTAGTCCGAACTAACTGCCCGACTAAGCCACGTGTAGCCGCGGGCAGTTAATTCGGACTAAGGGGATTTAAAAATGGTGCCTGGACGGGAAGATGCAAATAAAGCCCGGGATATTTAAATCCTGGGCTTCATTTGCAACTTCTAATGCCTACATTAGCCTCCCTAGTTCGAACTAGGGGGCTAGTGTAGACATACTCTAAGAGTGGAGCCAGCTACATCAGTAAAGACAAGGCTTCCACTGGGAAAGTCTCTCTCTTCTGGGCACTGTTTTGATGTTTCACTTGCAATTCTAGCTCACTCTCTTTTTCTTACTTAACCCAACTCCTTAGACAAGCGTTTCTCAAACTGTGTGTCCCGACCCCCCGGGGGTTGCGAGCAACTTAGAGGGGGGTTGCGAGCAACTGAGAGGGGGTTTGCAGCAATGGAGAGGGGGGTCACGAGCAACTGAGAGGGGGGTCATGGTATCACAAGTTTGAGAACCCCTGCCTTAAGACAGTCCAGTTCCTCAGTACATAGGACAGGTCTATACTTAAGATACACAACTCCAGCTACGTAAATAACACAACCAAAGTCTATGTACCTTAAGCTAAATTTCTCTGGTGGACCCACAGCAGGAGGTCCACGGGAGAAACTCTCCTGTCAACTTTCCTTACTGTGAGGTGTTCTGGAGTTGGCAGTGGTGCCCACAAAGTTTGATTTAGTGGATCATGGCTAGAGCTGCTAAATCAAACAATGGAAAATTGACCTCCACAGAGTCGATCCTCCATTTAGTACAGACATGGCCATAGATTAATGCAAGTAGAGAATACCTAGTTCTCTACAACAGAAAGTCCATGTCACCAATAATCCCTGAACTCAAGGGCTACGTCTACACTGGCATGATTTTCCGGAAATGCTTTTAACGGAAAAGTTTTCCGTTAAAAGCATTTTTGGAAAAGCGCGTCCAGATTGGCAGGACGCTTTTCCAGAAAAGCGTCCGTGGCCAATCTAGACGCGCTTTTCTGCAAAAAAGCCCCAATCGTCATTTTCACGATCGGGGCTTTTTTGCGGAAAACACTACTGTGCTGTCTACACTGGCCCTTTTCCAGAACAGTTTTCCGGGAAAAAGACTTTTGCCCGAACAGGAGCAGCATAGTTTTTCTGGAAAAGCACTGATGATTTTACATTAGATCGGAAATTCAAGCGGCCAGTGTAGACAGCTGGCAAGTTTTTCCGGAAAAGCGGCTGATTTTCCAGAATAACTTGCCAGTGTAGACACAGCCAAGCAGTCTATAAGACTGATAAGCAGGAAAAGAACAGTCCAAGAGACTGGCTGATGGCTTGGACAATCGCTCTTGCATCAATCCTCCTACATAATTTTCACCACATATGGGAGAAGGAAAATCACATTAGGAAACGCTGTTAATTGGTAAAGGGATATCTGCTAGTGCCGATGCTTGGTCTAGGTATGAAATGTAGCCCTTGTAAATGCATAGAAAATTATTATGACACTATAATCTCTCCACAGATAAGACTGAAGCAGTCTTCCCTATGACAAACTTGATTTACACCATCCAGATAATTTTATGAGAGACATAATGATCCAGCTGAAATTCTCTGTACCAAATCTTAGCCTCTGGAGCTCTCTCTGGAAAGTCTGGCCTAAATTCAACATGACATTCTAGGGATACAGGTGCTTCATAAAGCAGTCTGTCTTGTACTTTTGGAAAATCTGTCTAATCCTTTTTTTGGCTTGTCACATTTTCCATAGCGCTTGGTCTAGAAACTGCCCTCCTTTTTTTATTCTGCTAGTCCTAGAGAGATCTGGCACTCCTGACTAGTTTTGGGTGTTAAATTATTTAGACATTCACAGAAAACATCCCTAAATAGGATGACGGCTAATCGAGCATTTCAACAGAATCCTATTCATTTGTGTCTGCCAAAAATAAGTAAAAGATGTGAAAAGTGTGACAATGAACAATTAGATACACTTAACCCTTTACTGATACCTCACTCAACCTGCACTACCCTTTGTCTCCTGCCCCATGTAGGCCTCTGCTCTGCTTTCCCAATTATGTGCTCCCGTGGAACTCCTGCAACTCTGCTCCATGTCTCTCATCCAGAGCCCTCTCCTCATACCTAACCCAGAACTCTTCCACTCCTAAACAGGACCTGCATGCCATCTTGACATGCAGTCCCAAATCTCTTACAATCAAATCACTGAACCTTCTCCTGTTCATTTCTATTCCCCTGCACAGACTGTGGCCTCCCTTGTGTTTCCTACATGAATCCAACTATCCATTTCTATTGAGGTTCTCCTCACCACCAGCTCAGTCCAGCTATATTGAAGCCTGGAGCTAGCAGAAAGTCTATTTATGTTATTGAAATGTAACCACTGCTTCATATAAACAGCGTCTCTTCTCTTGGCAATTCCTCTCATTCGATACCTGGCTGCCATCTTCTTGTGCCTTCCGGATAATGTTTTGCCGAGAGTCAATCCAATAAAGCTGCTTATCCAGGGGGTCATAATCGATGGCTCGGACGTTCCTGAGACTGTGGATAGGCAATATGATATCTGGACTCTGTTGCTCATCTATCACCATGCGATTAATTGCGTTCTTCTGACTGAACAACAGGAAAGTTGTAGGAGCTTTAAAAAAGGAACACAAAGAGAGAGGGAGAGAACAGAAACATTGGTTATCTATATACCCAAGTACTATCAACGACTGTACCAGCGCTATCAAGAAACCACCCCTTTCCTCCCACCCTATACATGCACACATCTGCACAGAAACAGAGATTCTTGGTTGTTTGTTTTTTGGAAAAATGTTAAAGGCATCTACCATTTAAAATAAATTCTTGTGTGGGGATGAACAAAGCAAGGATAATTCTAGATGCAAAGAAAAGAAAGAATACATATATACACAAGAACATATACACACACTTTGTTATATTATCACAAGATCCAGGTTATCAACTTAGAACACTTTCCCTGAGTTTCTTTACAGAAGCATTTTAGCCAGTGGTCTGCCTGCCACAAAGTTCCAGTGAACTGTTGCACAGGCCCCAGCAGCCTCAAAAAAATAGAGTTCAATCCTGGAAAAATGAGCAGTGGGACATTTCACCCATTCCAGTCGATAAAACAGGTTAGGCAACACCTGGGGAGTGAGGTTCCAGAGAAGATCATTGGTCTTTACTATTTTAGGCCAGTCCAGTAACAGTGTGTTACCCGGCCCTGTACCGTCTGGAATGCTCTATAAACCAGCATGTCTAACCATCATAGACAGGCCAATTTAGTCTATTTGGTGCAGGGCCAGCCAGCTCCCTATCTGGGTCCGTACGGCTCCTTTGAAGAGGTGACATGTCCCTGCTGCTCCTAGGCAGAGGAATGGGCCCAAAGGGATCAGAGTGCAGGAGGGGCTATGGGGCTGGAGATTAGGATGCGCGCTTTGGGAGGGGACTCTGGGCAGAAGGCTGGGGCACTGGAGTTGGGGATTAGGGTGCGCGCTTTGGGAGGGGGCTCTGGGCAGAAGGCTGGGGCACTGGAGGGCCTTTGGGGTGCCTGACCCAGTGGATGCTCCATTTGGGAGAGCAGAGACCTATCCCCACTGCTCTTGATAGAGGCGCAGCGAGGCGGCTCTGCCTGCTGCCCCTGCCCTCAGGTGCTGCCCCCGCAGGTCCCACTGCTGACAGATGTCTATCTAACCTGTTCTTAAATATCTCCAGAGAGGGAGATTCCACCACCTCCCTTGGCAATTTATTCCAATATTTGACCACCCTGACAGTTAGGAATTTTTTCCTAATGTCCAATCTAAACCTCCCCTGCTGCACTTTAAGCCCATTACTCCTTGTCCTGTCCTCAGAAACCTGTCCTGCATCTTCTCCCCTTCACCGATGCCCCAGCTCCTAGCCCCACACCTCCTCCAGGACCCTAAGCTCCTTGCCCTTCTTAGTTAACCAACATTTTTTCCACTTACCAGCATCCCCCATTCACCCAACATGCCAAATAAAACTAGATTTTACTGTACTTTGAGCAGTTTTGTGTAGCTGCTGCTAAGAAAAGTTTCACTGGCATAAAAAAGATTTTCACACTTGTGACGGGGCATCTGCCCTGCACTGGCCCTTTAAGGGTAAAACCCAGCTCTGGGAGAGGGCTGAGCGCAAAGCCCACAGCTGAGGCAGATACAGCCAATTAAGGTCCAGTCAGGGCTACATAAATAAAGGCTCCTGGGGGGAAGGATAACAGACACTCTTGCTCTTGCTGGGGAGCAGAAGGCACCTGGGGCTATCAGGGAAGCTGGAGGTTTCCTGAGACAAAGCCATGCTGGGGAAAGGCAGGCAGAGCTGGGCATCTCTGGCATGACCCCACTCCCAGGCTGCAGGGTCTGAGACAAGGCCTCAAGAGTTCTAGGGCTGCCGGGAGGCAGCCAGGATAGGAAAAGGCAGCTCCCTTGCCAATGATGAGTGGCCATTACAGACTGCAGTTTGCCCCTGAGGCAGGAGCTAGATGAGACTGGCAGTGGGTCACTGAGGCAAGGTGGGTATAGAGGAACTGGGGGGAGGGTCTTCTTGGGAGGGGAGGACCCCAGAGTGTGGACAGGACTACTGATAAAACACACCTCCCCCAAAGGGAGCTGAGAGACACTGGAGTGGGCACTGCCAGAGGGCAGTGTCCTGAAGAGGACCCCACGGTCCGAGAGTGATGCGGGTCAGAGCTGGAGTGAGATGGGAGGACACAGAGAGACACCCACCAGAGAGAGGTGCCCTGTTTCCAAGCTAATTCCCAGTGCTACCTGGCAGGAGGTGCTGTGGCAGTGAGTGTCTGCCCTGTGACACACTGTACAAAATTCAGGCCTACGTGTAAATTATTTTTGCTTTCTGAAAAACCTGGATTTCCCTCCAAGTATTTCGCCAGTGATTTTTCTACATTTAATCACTAATTAATAGAAGGTAAGACAAAAGCAAATCAACTCCACTCAACACAGTTTGCCTTACACAGCAAAATACCATATTTAGAAAGGTCCTTTAGCACCTGATAAACATTTTAAGGGACATATGAGTCTGTGACAGGGCACCGGACTCCGATCGCGCGGAATCCCCAGCCCACCGCACTCACCAGCCGCCTGTAGACGCGCTGGGCGGAGACAGGGCAGCCGAGAGCACGCCAGAGGATGCCGCCGGCACGGGGAACAGGACCCCCCCCGCATCGGCCAGGCAGTCCTCCTGTCCGGGCTGCTTGGGAGGGGCACGTCACCAAGCGGAGGCCGGCCAGGGAGAGACGTCAGCTGACGTCATCAGCCCGCACCCAGAGGAACAGGGCAGGGGCCGACGGGCAGTTTAAACAGGGCAAAGGCCAAGAAGAGAGGGGGAAGGCTGAAGAGGGGCGGGGGCCGACGGGAAGTTTAAACAGGGCGAAGGCCAAGAAGAGAGGGGGAAGGCTGAAGAGGGGGAGAGGCAGAGACGAGCAGGAAGAAGAAGCCCAGGATGGGGGTCAGTGCCGGAGTCGCTTCCTACTGCCGGGGGCTGGTGAGTTATGGGCAACCCCCACCAACCAGGCCGCATTTTCAGGCTGCCTTTAGGGTCCTAGGTTGGGACCTGGAGAGGGGGCGGGACCGAGTCCCCCTCCTACCTCACTGCTGATTAGGCCATACCGGCCGCCCAGCTGGAGCAAAGCTATTCTAAGGCCGAAAACTGCGCAACGAAGGCGCGTGGACCAAAAGGGCACGGATGGTGGGAGGTGATGCAGGGTGGGCAACCCCAATGATGACAGGGCTGTAAGCCTGAGGGGGAGCCAGCCCAGTGACAGAGTCACAGAATGTTTTAGACCAAAAGAAAGGAAACTGTAACTGAAAGCATGCACGATTCCCTTCACAAAGAGTCAAATCCCTCTGCTCCTCCCTTCCAGAGACCTTCTGTCATGCTCAGAGGTCCACTGGGTAAAAACTTCAAAGGAAAGGCATTAAATAATTGCTGTCTTGATATCTGTAAACTCAGACTTCTCTAGCATTAGTATTATCCAAATGGATCTCTCATTGTATGTGGTGGCAGGGCAAATTCCCCATGTTAAGCTCTCTCCCGTCTCCCCTCTCTCCCCATTTCTCTGGAACTCCGTTTGGATTTTGAAAAACATTTTCCATTCTGAAACAGTGTCTCAACAGTCATATATTTTAACTATACTTCTGGAAGGAATTTCAGGTCAAACACAACAGCATCCCAGCTGGGGAACTGTTCTTCAAGCTCAACCATGCAGTTTTGGCTCTGAATGTTTGAGTTCCCAGATCTAGTCGCAGCAGCGTCTCCTTCCCATAATTAAAAGAATGTGTGCGCACATGTGCGCTGTGGTCCACAAAAGGAGGAATTGGCCTCTAGACAGGACTTGTGCTAGAATACTGCTCAGAAACACACCAGCAAGTAAATAGGCAAGAGAAAGTTAAAATGATCCATGCTCCAATTACAGAGGCCAAGAGAAAACTTTAATTGTAAGCAGAAAAATCTACGTCTCCAATTACCTACAAATGAGAAGCTGGAAATCTACCAGGGTTGAACATGGCTGAAAAGCTGTTAATGACGAATGAAAGGCTTTGAACCATACTGTAAGGAACATTTCTCCTTTATAATGTAACATGTTTCCTGTATTTTTCTCACTGCTTTATTACTAAACATTTCCATGAAAACAGGATCTTGACGTGACTATAACTTATTTCTCATCCGAAGACAAAAATCCCTCAATTATCCTTATTGCTACAAATGTGTCCATGAAATACGTCAATTACTCTTCTGACGTGCAGTAAAGGAGGAGGAAGGGTATGGCACAAAGATTTTGCTTGCGTACAAGTGGTCCTTGGTGTACTCCGGAGGGCATGCTATGACAAAACAATTTACATTCTGACAATTTTATTTCTCAAACGAATGTGGAGACTCCTGCATGGCATTGGGGATCACAAGCTACTGGCTGCAGAGAGGTGGGAGGACACTGTACAGCTCCCCATGGGACATGGACACAGGAGTGAGGCTGCACCCAACTCTTGATTCAGTGCAAGGATTGGGCCTATCCCTCCATGCCAGGGGCACCAGGTGTGGGCAAGCAGGCATAGAATCCAAGTAGGGAGGGGCTTAACATGAGGGTGTCCAAGTCTGGTTTAAGGGGACACTCTGTGGGCCAATCTGGCTGCTGGTGGCTCAGTGGAGGATGCAGGCGCAGGGTGGATCTGGATGCACAGGGACTTGCTAGGGGGTTCTGGGTGCAACAGTAAGAGAGTCTGACAGAGGTGTCCAGGTGAAGGTGGCTGGGGCTCAAATGGGGGGCTCTGTGTGTGTGGGGAAATCGAGCTCAGCAGGGCAGACTGGGTGTGAAGGACTTGGTGACTCCCAATGCTGGGGGAGTGAAGCTCATAGGGGGGCTCTGTATGTGTGGGGAAATCGAGCTCAGCAGGACAGACTGGGTGTGAAGGACTTGGTGGCTCCCAATGCTGGGGGAGTGAAGCTCATCAGGGAGGTTCTGAGTCCGATGGGGGGAAGTGAGGCTCAGCTGGAGGGTCTGGGTTTGAGGGGATCTACATGTGTGGTGGTTGGACGAATGGGGAATTCCCTATACAGAGATTCCTC